TGGCTTCCTACTCTGAGTGTGGAGCCATACCTGCAGTAGGGAGTCCTCATTACAGAGGATTCCCTCCCAACCCTTGTTACTGAAGAGGTAAGTTTTTCGCTCTTACAGGAACTTGGGCTTGCCTGTCTTGTATGGTGACAGAAAACTGCCCTGGTGGTAGACCCCCACCAGTACACACAGCTACATCACTCATCTGTGTGGGGGTCTGTATATGGCAAAGCTCACAGTGCTGGCACACTGCAGCATGCCTTTAAGAGATGGCAATTTGCCTTTGGTATCTACTATCCGGAGAAAGAGCTGCTTCCTGATCACCTACCCTGCTGCCAAAGCAGGAGGGGGGCTCTCAGGAGGCAGGTATTTATTCCTCATGACCCCAGGCAGCCAGCCCTCAGTCTTTCTTTGGAGAATGAGCTAGCGGGACAGAGAGGCTATGATCTTGGGGAGGGTTCTCAGCAGTGCAAGGCCACATGTGCTTGGCTTAGGAGCACATGTAATATAGGAGCTTCTGTGGAAGGCCCTGACTAGCAATACTTCTCCTGTCTTATATAGAGTCTTCCAATATGAAGACTGGCAGGTCTTCATATATATAGAGTCTTCCAATATGAAGACTGGCAGGTCTGGCTTCCCATCAGTTGCCCAGTTTCAGGTGTTCGGAATATGGAGGCTTCTGGAAAGAACTGAGACCCTGGGAAGTGGTTTTTCACAGGGCCTGACTGTGGCATCTGAGAGCAGAGAAAAAGTGATTTGGACTTGAGGAAGGCAAAAGTTTTGTCTTTTGCTGGTGGTAAATGCTGAAATTTATCTCCTTTTGTGTTCTTATCGGGTGTCTTGGAAAAGAGCCCGAGCTCCCATGCTTTTACTCCATACTGCTTGCTAACCTAGGCTGTGTCCGTAGGTACAGCTGTGTTCTGCTGATTCTGGGTCAACAGCCTCCCTTCACGGAAAAAAAGGTGCATAAGTCCTAAGACAGACACTGAGTGGACACTAAAACATTTCCAAAGGGTGTATTGGTGTGGTCTGGTTGTCCAGTCTGAGACTAGTGGGCAGGCTTTAGATTTTAGGCTACTCTTCCCCATGTCCGTTAAAAGGCAGAGATTTTATCTTCCTTGGAAAGGATGATGGGAAGTTGCTAGTTAAGAGGTCCATCCACTCACTGGTCTAGGTGTCCAAAGGTAGTCTGCAGTGACTAAAAGGCAGATCTCAGTTGCAAAGCAGAAAGCTTCCTTCCCTGCCCTGAACAGTACTGATGCAACAGATTCCTTCCACTTTCTACAAAGAAATAAATACACTTTAAGAGCATGTCTCATTGCTGCAGTGAACATCCTTGCTGCCTGTCTGCACTGTGTTCCTGTGTCCATTCCAGTTGTGACAAATTCTATTCTGCTTATCTCTACCAGTGGGTCAGAAAGTCTAAGTCCTCTCTCAACCTCATGTGGCTTTGAAGGTGACATGAGTGTTGAGTGCCACGGATGACCCTCAACCCTGGTCAAACAGCAACTCACTCTCCTGTATTGTGCTTCATACACAACCTGGCTTCCCAAACCCACATCTTGCTTTCTCTGTCTCTCAGCCTGAGAGAGGGAACTGGCATATCACTCTAACTCCTGTACCCTCCCATCTTCTTTCATTCTTACAGAGGAAGTAGACCAGGGCAATGCATGAAGAATACTCTGCTGGAGTTGCTGGAAGTTGCTGGAACCCTCCTGCCTCACCACCACCACCTCCTATGGAGAGGATGGAGTGACAGATGAGTAGTGCCTGCAAGGAATGGGAAATGAACTTTAAAAATAAATTAACTGTACTCATCAATGATTTCTGAACAGTTTATTCCCAATTCATTTTTTTTCTGCTCAGCCTCCAGTCACAGCTTTAATCTCCTTGGCTTCTTAGGTTGAAGAGCATCCCATCCAGCCATGTCTGTGTGCAGGGCAAATAAGGCTGACAAGTGAGGGAATAAAAAATATATAGGACAACATGATATAAATCAGGGTCAGCCTTTCTAATGTAGCCCTTTCAGTGTTATATACTCTGAAGTTGTCATCTGAGATCCTCTCTAATCAAGACAGGTACTTCTTGAAAACAATTCCTCTCTCCTGACTTAGAAACCATAACCTTGATTGAATTGGTCTCTGCAGGTGCTTATCCGTGCCTCCCACGGGTAGGCAGCCTGGATGTTCAGCTGATGTTACATGAAATTCAACCTCTGCGATGTGCCCTGTAGACACCCCTTCCAGGATTGTTTCTTGTTTGTAGGACAGTGGGAGGAGATACACAATGTGCCGTCTTCTAAGGTTAGAGTGTGCATGGGGGGGGGCAGGAGGGATGTGTGCACGCATTATGCCTGCAGCTGCTAACTTATGATGGCCTGTTCTCCAGTTGAAGCTTGGGCCTTCTTGTGGAAACTGCCATATCTTGCGCCTGCTGCTTCTGCGAGATTCCCAAGGAGTTGTGGGTAAACACTCTTTTGGCCAAGCCTAGAAGCTAATGGCACTTGCCAGTAACCTACCTACCTAAGTCTAGTTTAAATGGCACATTTATTTAAATCATAGAATTGCTTTGGTGAAACTGTCCATAGTCCTCGTAGATACCTCCAGGAATTCTCCCCTTTTCTTGGTTTTGTCCCATTCATTTCTGGGTTTAACTTTTGAATGGCAGAAAGATCTTCTTATGTGGCTGTTTATTCTCATTAAATGCTTATTGTTAGGTATCATGGCTTACTGTGTGTCCAAAGTATGCACAGCTAGTTGTTCTATCCAATTTTTTTAATGTGCCTATCCGAACTGTTATTGAGAACAAATAAAGTTCTTCGTCTATTTTGCTAGATATTACTATTATGTCACTTTGTCTCCTGTGGTGTTTGGCATTTACTCAAGACCTTTTTGACACCTCATATTCCGAGAAGTCTATGGAGTGAACTGGCTTCAGTGAAAGCTGAGCAAAATTTCTAATCAAGCATGAATGCTAATTGCATTTTGTTTTGATTTAGAAATAGTAAACCCTTCTAATTTCCTACCATGAGCCAATTACTTTTCCAAGTTCTCAAAGCAACATGAATGAAATTAATGAAACAGTTTTGATTTTAGACCATTGTGATTTGCCTTCGAAGCATGCAATGCATGCTCTGTGGGGATAGAAATTCAATATTCAGACATTCCTGTACTTCCTTAAGTACAGACTTAAGTTTAGCCTTGCTAAAGTTTCCTACACGGTATACCACAGAGGACCTGCAAGCATGTGAATTTGATAATTCACAGTCTAGTCAAGCAGAGAGACGTTAAACTGCTTTACAGATATGGGCTAGGCAGGAGGCCCCAGATCACAAGTGACGTGGCTCCCCGTGGGCAACAGTTAGGTGTTGTCTAATTAAAACCAGGTGGCAGCAAAGCATCATGTCAACTCGTTCCATAGTAGAAAGTCATTATCCAAATCTTGTGAATGGAACATACCCCAGTGATTTCACAGACTTTTAAATTAAATTATCATGATGATCACTTTGTTTCATTTGAGGCAGAAAAGATCCAACACCATAACCACATAGAGTACTCACCAGAAAGTAAATGAAAATGAAGAAGCTGTTGCCATCCGTCTACAGCCAGCTCTAGAGGGTGTGTATTTGCAGACCTCTGTCTGTATGCACAAGTTTGCAGACTTGAACATGCTTGCCCCTAACTAACAGTCTGAGCTGGGACTGTGTCTCTCCAGTACAGTCAGTTTCTCATGACCTTATAGCAGGGGGACAGCTATAAAAGGGACCAGAACAAACTGCTTTCCTCGCACAGTGAGAAATTCTAGGTCTCGAAGTGGAAAAAGGGTCTTGAGGCACCCATGTGGACGATGACTACACAAAGAGCTTCAGCATCACTGAAACAAGTACAAGTTCTTTGCTGCATCAACTTCCATTTTTGACAGCCTGGGTCTGTGTATGTGAAAGAAGCTGCTTGAAGGACTCCTACTGGTGTGTTTGCCTAAGTTTATGTTGGCAGGTTCAAAGGCACCTCCACACACAGAACCGTGTAAATAAAATACACAGAGTGCCATATGACCTGTTAGGCTGATCACCTCTGCATGCCTGGGAGACGTTTAGACTAGAGAGAATGTGATCATTTGGAAAATTGACACGCAAAAAAGCTTAACCTAAAGTACCAGATGGGAATCCAGGGCCTCCCCTCTGAATTCTGCTAAAGCACTGTAATCCTAGTTGAGGATTACAGTGAAAAAGAAAAGAACCTGTATTAAAATTACTCAAAAAAAAAAAAACCAAAGTACACCTATAGGCCTCCACTGAGGGGAAGAGGATAAAGCTCTCATGAAAAATGCAAGGGGTTTGGCTCGGTTGAAATTCTGACTAATGACACTGTTAAGTTCCAAATCCCTCTCTGATTTCAATTCAGCTGTTTAGAAACAAGCAGACAACATCTTCACTACCAGAATGGGAAAGTGCACAGTCACTTCTATCTGGCCTGCTGTGAAAAAATCAGATTGCACAGGTTCACACTGTCCTTCCACCTCATAGCAGTCATTTCACAGCAGGATCAAAGGCAGTATGTAATCAGAGGTTTATGTCCAAGGATTATCTTGCAGGAAACACCCACTTTTAGAGGAAGGGAGCCAAGCTTCCAGTGCATGATGTATCAGGTAGGATTTCCTCTCCTGCTGGAGAACTGGCAAGTATGGAGATGAACCTCCACACTGCCAAAAGCTGTCTGCCTCCTGGTATGCCTGAGGAGTTGCCTAACACCACCTTGCCATGGATGGCTCTGGATTTAAATCTCGGGCCATTACACACTTTGAGATATGGATGGGAACAGATACAAGACACAGTAATAAAAAATAAGGCCAGAGGTATCTGATGAGAATAAAGACTTAATTTATTTATAGTGTTACTTCCTTTTTGGTGTTGAGGTGTCCTCATCTAACATTTCAATAGGTCCGCTCAACGAGATCTTCTAGAGGCAGAGACACATGAGTGGATCCAGCAAGGCTCAGACAAGATGTGGTCTTCAGGCATTTCCCTCTTCAGCCTTGGCTGGAGGTGGGAAAAGGACAGAGTGAGATAAGTATCCTGGGGAAGCAGTGTCCAGAGCCTTGGCCATCTTCTCTGTGTTCTAGTGGCTATACAAGTTCAAGCTGCATTAAAACCTGGGAAAACAACTAAAAATGCCCAGTTGCAGACAGGTAACAGAATGGGAATGGCTGGACACGTTCAAGATATCCATGCTACAGAGAGGGGAGGCAGAGATATCCTGGAGATACGTGAGCTATCACAGTACACATTCTCTCTCAGCACCTGGGTTTCCCAAAGGAAGGGAAAAAATAACCCAGGGCAGAGTCTGAAAGGTCCCCACCGAAGACGTGAATAATATCAACATTTCACCACGATGTTTGGTAGACAGTTACTCAGTACCCTTCTGTGTCTGGAGCACGGCAAATGTGGCCCTGGAAAGGGCAGAGATTCAAGGGCTGAGTGTGGTGCTCAGTCCCAAGGGAGATTTCAATCTTATTTCTACAATTTGACACAGACATGCAGAAAAAGACAGATGCCTCTGTGCGAACAAAGGCAGTAACACTGGGATTGCCATTCTCAGTGAATCAAATGAAAGCTGTATCTGATCTTACACAGGACATGGGGTGGCAGCATTGCTTTTCCTCTCTGTACTAAGGCATGCATGGAGACTGCACTAGGCACAGTGGAGATAAACACTGAGAGTATACCCAGCATGGGAAAACCCAAGGTCTGCAAAGATTCTCATTCCAGAAAACCTGTAGTAGCCCATGATGAAACATCTGTTGTTTCTGTGCACCCTACCTGCGGTGCAGGGAGCGCTGTACTCCTGCGTGGCAAATTCATCTGGAAAAGAGAAGGGAAGGGAGAGCGCGGGCTGTCAGGGCCCCTCGGCACTGCCGGCAGAGGGACGGGTGCCAGAGGGACGCTGCCCCCAGGCCCCACAGCAGCCCACCGCCACCACCCCCAGCTCCCCCCCAGCGATCCCAGTTGGGTGAGGGGAGCCCCAGGCACGGCCCCGTCGGGAGGCTGCAGCAGCAGCCGGGCAGAGCCACCCGGCGCCGGGCG